CATATAACCCTTCTACAACATAATCGATGATTGGTTATATAAAACTAATTTGTTTATTGTTTGCTACTATTGATTCACTTCCCTTTGCCATAATTGATTTTGGTTTCGATCAGGGTTTTATCTATCCTAATACACCCGGTGAAGGTTACACCGGGTAGTTTTTTACCGTTGATCTACACATACCAATGTGGGTGTGTGTGTGTTTGTGTGTATATGAATGGTAAAGATCTACCCGGTGTATTTCACCCGGTGTAGGATCTCAAAAGCCTTCGATCAGGATGGTTCTTACCAGATTTTATATAATTAGAATAAAGGGCACTTTGCTATACACTGATTTTTATCAATATCTATTTATTTCATTTATTTATTTATTCAGTTTTATAGGAAATCATACATAATTAGTTGTTAAAACCATATTATAAGGCATATAAGATGTTTGAGGGTTTATAAATTCTTCCAAAGTTTTCGGGTTTTTTTTCTCAAAAATATTAAAAGAAAAAAAGATGCTGAGAGAGATCATAAGATTTTTTTTTTTTTTTGAGGATGATCATAAGATTTTTTTAAAAGTATTTATAATCTACTTTTTTATTTAAGATCTTAGAAACAGTAAAATCAACTTATAAGTTTATTATCCGAACATTTCATAAACTAATTTTAAAAATAAGACGTAATAATTTATCAACTCTTAAATTAACTCATTAGATGTAAGAATTTTTGGGTTAATTGAAATAAATTTAGTTAAATTCTAAATGGCTCAAGTATTATTGTTCAACAAGTCAAATCCAATTACACTAAACATGGCTTCCACTTACTCAAACTTCAAATCTCATTAATATTTATTGTATAACAAACCTTAATAAAAACATAATGGTAATAACTAATTACTTGCATCATAAATCAAACCATTAAATCCAATCTATTTTCACATGTAACACAAATTTCAAAAAAAAAAAAAAAAAACATTTAATCTACTATATCAAGATTGCAATTTGAGATATTTTTCAATTTCTAAAGGATCGCGTCTTCGAATCACAACTTTCAGTCCGTACTTCATGTACATCGTGAGGGCCATTTTCGGGACCACCGGGTGGTTCTCGTCCACCACCACCCTGTACCGGTACAAAATGGAGGCGGCGACGAACTTCATTTGGTAGTAGGCAAAATCTTTCCCCAAGCAGAGGCGGGGCCCGCCATTGAACGCGGTGAACTTGTAAGCGGACTCGCTCATGAACCGGCCGTCCCGCAGCCACCGTTCGGGCTTGAACTCTCGGTAGTCTTCGCCCCATATACTCTCCGTCCTCCCCATTGCGTAGATTGCGTACACTACTTTCGTTCCTTTCTTTAGCTTTGTTCCGTCGGGGAATTCGTCGTCTTCTAGTACCTATTCATATGTGTAAATATGTCATCCATCATGGAAAAATATTAATTTATAATAATTATTATAATTCGTTTGTTAATGTCTAATTAAAATAGCAATAATTAATACAGTTGTATACATTCATTGTAAATTGCTCTCTTTAGAAGTCAAATAAAGTGTAGAAAGTCCCAAAAACTCCAAGGTCAAGACAATCACAATAATTAATTGTGTAGTTGACCTAATTAATCCTATTGCATCAATACATGTAATTATCTCAAAACCCAAAACCTCGTAACTTCATGTAAACACAATGCTCATAAGTGGAGGATAATTAATAAAAAGTGAATTAGTTGAAGTGTGATTTATTTTTTTTCCTAAAATCAATAAATATTTATTAATTTTATATTATATTCCAAACTTTAGATAATTAGATTATTAAAAATCTTAAAGTGGTGATTGCAAAAGCTTTTGAAAAGTGATTCTGAACTTTTTTAAACTTAAAATCAATTTTGAAGTGTTTGCAGTACCAACTTTTGTTTTTACTTCTCTAAAATTAGCAACTTTAAGTTAAAATGTAAAATGCATCATTAGACCAACTTCTCTTAAAATAAGTTACTCGAGATTGATTTTTCATCGAGTTTGCAAACACCATCGACTTTTAAAAATAAACACTTATTATTGACTTAACTGATAATCACCATACTTCCGTTTTTCTAAAATCTTTTACAAACCACATCACCAAAAATATTGTGAAATTTGATATTAATTAACTATATCAAATTGCACATAGAATATAATTATATAATTTACGAGAAAGTATATATAACATTTTAAAAATAAAAAATTCCAATATAAAACATACATTTTTCGTGAAGTTTAAAAAAGAAAATAAAAAAATAAAAGAAAAATCCATGCAATAAAGCTACGATATATATAGTGTACGTACCTCCTTATGATCAACCGGAACCGAAGGGTACAACCTGAGAGCCTCCGACACGGCGGCGTGCAAATACTCCATCTTCTTCACCTCCTCCGCCCTGAAAATAAACTCACCGCCGCCGCCGCCCTCTTCTCTCTCCCTCACTATCCCACAAATCTCCTCCACAATCTTCTCCTCCACCGGCGGATTCCCACTCAGCAGCCAGAAAAACCAGCTGAGCGCCACCGAAGAAGTATCTCTCCCCGGCAGGATTAAATTCACGCAGACATCCCTCAATAACTTCTCCGAAAACCCCTCCTTCTCCCCATTACTCAGCCCCATGAACACCGTCAGAAGATCCGACCCGATCTTCTCCGGGCCGCGACCCGACGAAAGCTCCATTTTCCTGGCCCGAATAACCTCCCTCGCGAAATCGTCGACCTCCGTAATCGACTTCCTCAGCACACCTTCGCTCCCGATCCCGAAAAACCTCATCGCCTTCCACACGAGCGTCGGCGTGACGAAACGCGCGATCGTCGCCTCCGTCGCGTCCTCAAACGCCCGGGCGAACGGAATCTCCGGCAGGCCGGAGCTCAGGCACCCCGGATCCACCCCGAACGCGATCGTGCAGACGTTGTCGAAGGTCAGCCGGAGCAGAATCTCCTGCAAATCAATCGTACTACTCGAGGCGGCGGCCGATTTTGCCCTAATTATCGAATCCTCCAGCACCGGGAGGAGCCGCGCGTGGACCAAATCGACGAGCGAATCGGCGGTCATCCGGCGGAACTTCGCCGAGTGGAACTCCAGGCTCGCCGTCTTCCTCTGGCGCCGCCACACATCGCCGTCGGCGCCGAAGATTCCGTCGCCGAGGAGATCGGAAACCGCGCCGCGAAAATAGTCGCCCTTGGGGAAATTGGGGAAATTCGTCTTCAGAAGGTACTCGAGGTTTCTAGGGTCTGAGGTGACAACGCAGTTGAGGTTGGTGAACCAAGGCCCTCTGAATGTGAAAGTACCGTTTTGCCCCTGGAGAATCTCCGTTAGCCACTCGTATATATTCTCCTTGATCCCGAAAACTAGGGACGGCAGCATTCCGACCAAGGGCCAGTTCGGGAGGCCGCGACGCTTCTTCTGTCGGAGAGAGTTTATCACGACGAAGACCACGGCCGCCACGAGAAGCTCCAGCATTTGAATTTCGGATAAGAAATCGGCAAATCGGGCTTTATTATGAGCCCGATTCGTCGTATTCAATGAAGACGACGACAAAGAAGAAGAAGAAGAATTCATGATATTGGAATGAAGGTAAGGAATTATTGGAGTAGTTCAAGAAATGGGAATTTGGTGTGTGTGTGTGTGTGTGTGATAATGGAGGGGGGAAGGAATTAATACGTGTTGAGTATATTTCTTGGCGTGCATGAGTTTGTACATTGGTTTGATTTGGTGAGCAGAAAGTGAGCTTCTTTTTTGCTAAAAGCTTATATCTGGCTTTTCTTCCTTTAAAAATTGGACAAATTACGTGAACTGAAGTAAAGTTAAATTACGAAAAAACCCTTATTTGGATAATTATAACTAATCATCAATTATGTATTTTTGACAAAAAAATGACTCATTTAGTAGGTAATTGATACAGTACAAATGAATATGTAAGACAATACTTAGTTGATAAGTAGTTGTAATTACTCAAATATGTAAGAGTTTTCGTAATTTAATATTATCTAGGCTGACTGTAATTTGCCTACTTTTTTATTTATTTTTTTGATTTTGACGGCGTTATTAATTATTTTTTATTTTTTGGGA